TAGGGGGATGTAGACTGCAAGAAGACACGGAATTCGCAAATCGGTACTCCGCGGGGTTGTACTGGTCGCAAGCAACGGCGCAGTCTTGAGGTAGGTCTTGCTTGGGCTTTGGAGAGGAGGGATCGACGGCACAGTCGAGTTCGACACGACTCTTCCCCTCTCTTGTGCGACTGCCAGGTTGTTGCAACACCGTCTTTACCCCGCCTGGGCTCCGTTCACATACCTACTTTGTATGTACGGATGTACCTGCGGGATACTCAGCGCTCAGTGCCCTGGAAAGCACCACCAGAGCTGCTCCGTGCTGGGGCAGGGAGGTACAAAGTGACTTGACGACGACGCTTGCAAGCCTCCCCTGCCCCTTGCCCTCTTTTTCCCAAGATAAAGCCCGCCCCGGGTCCCTTTCCCCTGGGCCACTGCCACTCACGTCCTGCTGAACGTCGAAAATTGGCCTGCATCATGCCGGGGTTCTGACTTTTTGGCAAGTCTTGTGCGCGGATGTGCCCGTCGGGAGCGCCGACATGGAAGATTTCATCGAGGCATACGACGTAATTTCAAGCCGATAAACGCAATACGCAGTAGTTTGGGGTCAAAAATAGCAGACGAACTATCGCTCAGCGCAACACACGACAACCTTGAGAAGGCGAAGAAGCATCGCAGAATCAATCAGAAGGTCCTGCGCCAGAAAGGAGGGTGCCTGTCGTGGTGATAAGGTTCTGCTCGGGCCCGTCTCACATCCAAGACGGCCTCCTTGTCAGTTGGGCGCGACCTTGGAGTCCTTGACCTTGACCGAGACCGTCCATGTCGGCTGTCGAGGGCTGTGATAGGCACATGTTGGGCCAACAGAGGCGTTTTGATGGCGCGAGTCCCTCTGGATGGCCCCACGCTTCTTTTCGTTGATCAGATGACTTGCCGTCTTGCGCAATGCACAGCATCGACACTGCGGGATGCCGCAAACTCAGGCACCGTCTTCAGCTTTTCTCGGCTCGGAGCCACCGTCTGGCATCCCCTGTTGTTCCCTTTTGACCTTGGAAGCCATTTTCGAGATAGACGAGAGCGAGAGTCGTTCAAAGTACGGCGGGTACATCGGACTCCATCAAACGTTCAGTGCCTGCTGGGGGTTAGGTGGTCTCGTCTCTGGCGTTGAGTGCCAAGGTACCTGGGTGCGAATCACCAAATCGGGAATAGCGGCTACAGGTGACTCGGGACGAACAAGACGGGGGACGGAGACCGGAGACCAGGGCACAATGGACGTGGACGTGGACGCAGGCGCGGACGTACGTACTGTAGACGTAGGCGCAGGCGCAGACGCGAGGGTACGTGGAGCTCGCGAACGTGTAGATAAGAGTGGCGGCTCATTCATCGGCAGACAAACAATAAACCAGCGGCGAAGGGCGAAGTGACTCAGTTTGCGCCATCCGTGGCGGTGGAGAGGCCAGACCAGAGCCAGACAGCCACGCGCCGCATGGCAGGTCAAACAAGGTGATATTTTTCTTCGTGCAGGTTCGACGAGACAATCTGAAGGTGCGGTGCGGTGCGGTGCCGGTGCGGTGCCGTAGGCATGGAGCAAATTCCCCTCGCCGAGACTGGATGGCAGAAGAAGTGGGAGTCTGGGAGAAGCAAAAGAAGGGCCGTGGGATCCCCCTCCCCCACTCTGAAAGGGAAGGGGTCGAAGGGGTCCAGTCCAGCAGGATTCCAGGAGGTGAGTTGCGAGGGTATCGTTTGCGTTCCTGGGTTGCGTGATGCAGGGCCCTTCGCTGCTTGGTGTCCCACAAGGCGAAAAATTCTGACAGCTTCGCTGTTTATTTCTGTGATAAACTGGAGCGGCATTGACAGACGATGGTGATCGTGATATTGAATAAAGTGCGTAGTGCTGCGTTAGCATGGATGATACTACTCAGGGCCTTGATGGACGACTATGGATGGCTGTCAAAAGTGACAAGTGCAGTCCGGTCCGTCCGTACGAAGTACTATTCGTATACCGAACAGCCCAGGGCGTTCTGAAAATCCGAAAATTGAGCGCAGTCCAGACCGGCGAATGCCAAAGCATGAAGCGCATGCGTCAGGCAGCTGAGTTCGTGGTAGCGCTAACAGAGATCGATGCAGGGCTTGTCCAGAAGAGGCTTGCTCAGCGCCGGGAATCCTTCGAAATGAGGTTTAGGGCGGGGTAGAGGGACAGAGCCGCGAGGGCAATCGAACAAGGAGCGTTGTGACGGACAGACAGCGGTGTGATGACATGTGGACGTGGGAAGGGCGAGGGTCGAGGGTCGTTTAGTCATGGCTCCGTCATGAGCGGCACTTTCGGCCGTTGATGTTTTCCATCGTATAGTGCCGTGTCTGTTTGAACTTGTTTCTCTTGATTGATTCGTGCTGTTGTTCAAAAATACAATAAATTGTCGTCTGTGTGTTGAGCGGTCGCGATCTGGACGATCGATGGTTGACTCTCGGCTCGGATGATGTGACGAGGCCTGGGCCTGGACGTGGGCATGGCGCGGAATGGTATGGTATGGCATGGCATGGCATGGCATGGCCTGGCGAGCCTGGGACGAGGACGAGGGCAGAATGAAAAACATGGGGAAATTCTGCCGGCTCGGTTATCCGCCAGGCCGATCGCGCATGGAGGCAGCAGCAGCAGCAGCACCGAATCACCGATAAAGGGTTGCTGCTGAGGGAAATGACCAAGGGCTGCAAAAGCAGGTGAGTCGTGTCGTGTCGTGTCGTGTCGCGGTACTGCGTAAGGTACCTTGGACTGACTGCCCAGTTGGTTAGTCAGTCACAGCTCGCAGTTGGACTTGGACTTGCGCGTGTGCGAAAGGACAGGTAATTGCCAGGACTCAGGAGGTGATGCGACTGCGTCTGTCCCGTCTCCTGTTTCCCGCATCTGCTTCGCTTTTCTCTCCTGCCTCCTTTCCCGAGTCACATCTGCTTCATCGTTCCTTCCCGTTCTCAAGTCTGTGTCGCTGTGGAAAGAATAGGAGCTCAGACAGTGTGCTGCACCTGCTGCAATCAGAACTTCGGATGGTCGGGAACGCGGGCAATGGAAAGAAAGAACGCACTGAGGAAGGAAAAGGTGGGGCCAGGCCTGCCGCTTCCTAGGGCAGCCAGCAGGTGCAGAAGCAGGAGCAGCAGGAGCAGCAGGAGCATGATCCCGTCATGATGGGAAGCACAAGCACAGGCACAGGCACAGCCAGGAGCAGGAGCAGGAGCAGGAGCTCTCCAAATCCAAATGGCAACTTCGACTCGAGTAAGGCGGCCGCAGGAGGAAGGGGGGGGGGGGGGGGGGGGGACGGGGGAAGCTGCTTTCCATTTCTGAGGTGTTCTTCCGAGTGCCGCAAACTTGATTACCATCCATGGATCTCTGTCTGGTCTTTACCGAACCAAAGTAGACACAACTCTCGCGTAAGTTGCTCATGGATGTTCCCTCCTTCTGGCTATTGTGAGCCTGTGAGAGCAGCCCCAAACACCTTCATGCCACTCTGGATTCGCAGATGCCTTTCCACAAAATGTCCGTCCTTGGGCCTTCCCTCCCTTGGCAATATCCCATCTTCCAAGCTCCAGGGAAGAGCCCCCTGGGTAGGGCTACCGGTGGCGCTTGTACCATCCGGAGTAGTGCATATTGTCCACATTAATCTGTGATGACTGATAGGCACTTTATGGAATGTTCCCTGGGGGCGGCGGCGTCTTGTTCGACTCCGTTTTCACCCACAACTTACCTTGGTAGGGTCAAGTAATAAGGTACTTGGCGAGAAGAGACTGACTGACTGACTGACTGACAGATGGCGCCCGTACTATGTATGCATATACAGTGTCAAAGTACGATACGGATACCTACATTGCACTTCAAATGGAGTCCCGCCCACCTGCCGTGCGCATTGCTACTGTTCCAGCGTTCAACGTCTCCCGTCAAGGCCAGGTGCCAGGCCAAGGAAAGCCGTCCCTTTTTTCTTCCAGAAGGAACAGCGCTGTCGTCCCGTCTTAATGTTACTGTTAAGATCTCCACTGTAATGGTTCTGAAACGCCCCTACTGGCCCTTGGTACCTGTGAACCTTGCCCGTCGCCTTGTCCGATTCCAACATGCCATGATTAGCGAATCAGCACCCCGTCCTCTGGTGGACTTCGGGGGCTATTCTCCAGCATTTGCGTCTTAAGAGGTACATTGTGGCCCGCCGTGATCATCGCTGTCACGGAGGTATCTTTTTTTTTTCCCGGCAGCCACATTCCCCACTGCCTCCTGCACCAGGACAGGCACCTAGCACCACCACTGCCGCACCGCCAGCGCCCCCAACCATGCACGCCGCACGACAACTGCGCCCGACCGTCACTCACTGTGAGTATCCGTACGGAGTAAGGTAGGTACCTAAGGTACAGCATGGGCTGAGGTGTGGTGTAGGTACCAAGTCGATGTACCCTTTTTTTGGCGTGCGAGCTGACTGCCAGTGACTGCCCTGCCCTGCCCGCTGGTCTGCGGATCGCGGTCGGCGGGCGTGCGGGCGGACGACCTTGCGAGTGAGTCCTTGGACTTGGACTTGGACCTCCAAAGTGGGACCTTCATCGTCCCTTTCGTCTCCCATGCTCGACGCCTCTGACCAAACAATCGACCACCGCCGAGTCCACGCGACGAAGAACGCCCCTCTTATCCTCTTCCCTCGCGCGAATAGCTTCGAGCCCGTTCTTCCGAGACACTGGCCAAAGACGAGAACCCGTTGTCAAACCATGAGACGTACTGCCTCGACCTGTACCCGATCGAACCCCTCATCTACCACCATCTCCGCCTCGTGAACCACTTGCCGTCGTCCGCCAACTGCATCTGTCTTTCTAGTTCCCGGACTCTCTAGGTCTTCCTCGCTCATCGCAAGCTTCGTGGAGAGCAGCACCGCCTCTTCCGGCCCTCGCGACCTCTTCAGACCCTTCACGACATCTAAGCTGGGGATTCTCCTCAGCTACTAGCCCGGCCGATGGATGCCGCCGCCGTCTTTCGCCATGGCCTGGGCAATGTGAACAACATGAACATGATGGCGCGAAACCCGCCCTACCATCACCATCCTCCCCCGCCGCCTCCGCCTCACGCCTACCACCACCAGCAGATCCGTGGTCCGCCGCCTAGTCGTGGCGACGACCACGACGGCGATGGTCCTTCGAATCGCATTGCCCATACTCTCACCGCTTGCTGTCGCTGCCGTCAGGTGTGTACACCGTCCTCGCCCTGTTTTGGCCCCCACCATGTGATACCAGGAGTGTCCTCCCTTTGACCCGTGTTGACCTATCCTCCTCTGTAGCGCAAAACTAGATGCGATCCGACCCTACCTCGTTGCCTTCCGTGCGAACGTGCAGGCTCCGTATGCGAGTATTTCGACACTACCAAGGGAAAGAAGATCAACCGCAACTATGTCATCAAGCTTCAGGAGAAGGTGCGCGCCCTCGAGGCGGAACTACGCCAGTACACCGACGAAGACGACGAGTTCTCCCACATCGACGAGGACATGGTGCGCCCTGGTGGTTTGGTGAAGCTGAACGATACCGATGAAACGCCTCGATACCTGGGCCCAAGCAGTGGCATTGCCATGACCCGATTGCTTGTCCAGGGCGCGAAGCTCTTCACTGATTCAAAGAGAATATCCGAGTTGATCCCAGAAGTACGCGCGAGAAGAATGACGCGCATGCAGTCAATCGTCATGACAAGGGACCGCAAGAAGAGCTATCCAATGGTCAGCGCGCACCCAGCTGCTGCTCTGCCTACACGACCCGTCGCGAACAAGCTGGTGGACGTCTTCTGCCAACGATGTAAGCTCCTTGCCGCGTATCCTAACTTTTCACCTTCTAACGCATGTCTCGTACAGCCCAAGTATTCTGGCCCACACTGCACGAGAAACAGTTCCTCGAAGACCTCGAGGCCGTATTCGCGGGTGACCAGGATCCCTACAAGAATCTGATAGTCCGCATGGTGTTTGCAATCAGTCTACAGAAGCTGGATCCGCAGTACGCCGGACTGGCAGACAGTTACTACCTCGCGGCTATGGAGCACTTTGAGGCGGTCGTTTGTCCAAAGGACCTCAAGTCGTTGCAGAGTCTGGCCCTGATCGGCCAGTACTCGTTGCTGACTCCGACGAGGACCGCCGTGTACTACATGGTCGGTTTGGCAACTCGCATCTGTCAAGCAGAGGGCCTCACCGACGAGAAGACCATTGCTCAGGGGGGCCTACTGGACCCCCTGACCCTCGATATGCGCCGTCGTCTTGCCTACATTGTCACTTCAATGGAGGCAGGCCTGGCACACAGCATGGGCCGACCCAACGGGTTCTCCAAAGTAGACGACCGTATGGACGTCGAGCCCTTCGCTACTGTCGACGACGAGTACATCACTTCCGAAGGTCTTCTTCAGGGGCCCCCAAGCGAGAACAAACTTGTCGCCCTGCACTTTTTCAAAATGCGCATGGAGCAAGCCGAGATTAGGAGAGTTCTGTACGAGAAGAAACGGGAGGAACCCAGAGATGAGAATCACCCTTGGTTTGCCAAGATGGAGCGCGAAATTCAAGGCTGGATCGACTCGTCGCCCCAAAACCCGGCTTGGTGCAGGCCATGGTAAGTTTATCGTGCAATCGCGATGATAAATCCATTGCGGACACAGCTAATCGCACAATCCCAGGTTCACCGGAAGATATCATCAGATGCGCATCTTCCTCTACCGCCCGTCACCACAAGTCCCCAGGCCGTCAGCTCGAGCCGCGTCTATCTGCTTCGAGGGAGCTTCATACATTATCAACCTTTCAAAGCAGCAGATGGAGAAGGCAGCTGTCGACATCACATGGGTCTTCTTACTGAACCTCTACATGTCTCTCAACACCCTGCTGTGGACGATCTCGTATCCCGAAATCCGGCAGGCTCACACAAGAGAAGAAGTCGAAGAGCTGAGCGACCAGACGCTCGATATTCTCGAGCAATGTACGGAGCGCTGGCCAGGCACTGCTCAAGCTGTCCAACTCTACTCCATCTTTGCCAAGGCGTGCTTGCAGAGCTACGAAGCCAGAGACACTCCCGTCTTGCAATCCTCAAGCACCTTCACGACTCCCCCGTCCATGTTTGACGGCGATTCGCCGCAAGGCTCAGAGAACTCGGCATCTACGGCACCCTCGGCAGCCCCGACGTTTAAGGTCAACCCGCCCCACAATCCTCCCCAATTTGGGTTCGTCTTCGACGCAACCCCGGAGTCCATGAACACATTCCAGTGGGACAACAGCTTCCCGCCCCCCCAGCCGACTTTCCGCTCAAATTCTATCTGGGGCAACCCGACCGCCGACTCCATGGGCCGCCGATTCTCGGCGTATCCTCCTGATTCACCCATGCCGGACGATGCAACTCCGCCGGCGACAACCACGCCTGGTTATACTTCCTCATCGCCGCCGAGTACCATTGGCAACGCGCTGCCGACGCCGCCGGAGTCATTCGGACCTATGAGCCAGCCGATCGGGACGCCAACAAATTCAAGCTCCACCATCTCGCCGCCACCCATGAGCACACCTGGGCCAATGGGCACGCCGGGACCCATGAGCACGCCGGGAGGAATGGGAACTCCCGCTATGCACTCATCCCCTCTTATCCTTCAACAAGGCACGCCGAATATGGTGCAGCACAGCACAAACATGTCCCCACCGCCACCGCCGCACCCGGGACAGCGGGGGCCGGCCTTTGGCATGCCGCCGACCTCAGCACCCCCGCAACGGCCGCTGCCGTCTTACAATCCAGTCAACGACTGGTTTAACCCGCCACCACCATTCATCAACCCCGACGCCTTTAGCTCCATGAGCAACAGCTTCTTCGGCGACTCCCTCCAGGTCAACGGGTTCAATCACCAGAATCCTGGCCTCGGCCTTGATCATCTCGGCGGCGGCCAGCCCTTCAACTGGTCGCAGGAGCGCCAGGGCAGTCTCAGCCAACAGCAGCAGATGGAGTTGATGAACGTCCTCGAGAACGAGGGCATGAGCGATATTGATGCCCTTCTCAACATGGGCATGAACGGCACCGCCGGGCCCGCGGCCAACTGGCCCCAAGCATGAAAGTAACGTATAGATAACAGAGAAAACGCAAACGCAAACACAAACACACAGTAGGAGTTTTGGGGTTGCGGAGAAGACTTTGGAGGCATTCTGGTTATGGAGGCGGCATTTCTTTTTGGGCATAGGTGCGTTGCGTGTGTGTATATATACCACGGAGTCAAACATCGGGTGGGGAGATCTATGTTGGCATGCGGACGGTGGTCGCAGCGATGCGCCTCCGCCGGGTACTTGAAGATATTGATAATGGTTTCAACCAGCACTGTCCGAGTCGTCGTCAAATGTAGACTGAACCAGACCAATCATCGTCATTTTCCTGAACTTGTAAAGTTTTGCAAAGAGTTTCGTTCGTCGTTGGTTGCTGTCGGAATCCTCGAGTTCCTCAACGGCCCAAAAGTCGGAAGTGTGCAATCGATTAGTAAAAGTCCTCACGCATGGTAGTCCGATCGCGACATCACGAGAACCGTCAAGTGGGAAAGAAGACATTCATTCGGATGTACTAGTCTACCTGCATCCTGCCTCCCCTCCCTGCTGGTGGCGAGCCAGCATCCTCCGCCACGAAAGCCTTGGTTGCCAGTGTCTATAGACTGGCCGGAGAAACCTTCCAATAGTTGTTACTCCACGAATAACTGCCCCCTTCCTTTGTGTCATGTCGATCGAGGTATTTGGTGAATGGGTGCATTTGGTGTCTACCGCAACCGGCGCCTGGACCGGAAGTCCTGGGTTAGACAGAGGCGATAATATGCAAAGCTGATGAGGACATGCTTGTATGGCATGGTGCCAGATCTGACCTCCAAATGATTGGCCACGAAGGCCGGGTGAGCATAGTGAACTTGAGTAGTCGACAAGACTGAAGGTGCCATCCGGCAAATTGGCAGTTTTTTGTTGTTCTGTCTTGACCATGGCGCAACGCTGATATTTGGTGACGAATGCCCCTCCATTCGGTGATGACCACAAACATGCTTGCGGCCGCTCTCGGCACTGGACTGAGAGCGGGGCGCGGAGTTGCGGCTGTGAGATGATGTACATGAAACGAAGCACGAGGACATGTCGCTGGAGGTCGGGGAGATCTCAGGCTATGATGCCAGGTGTCGTTGTGCATCAGAGAGCGTGCGCTGGGCAGTTTTACGTCGGCCGGGACAGAAAAGAGGGAAGCGAGGCATACCCAGGACCAGTCTCAGCTTTTTCAATTGAACAGAAAACACACGAGGTGATATTCCTGTTGGTTGGGCTTTTGAAAGGGGTTACAGCCCGGTATACACCGAACGTAAATGACGGGAATCCGTACGTGACGGGAGCAAACAGTCCCATGCTTGCTTCCATCAGGGCTTGGGCATGAGCCGGTGAAAGTAGTAGGGCATGAACCCTTCAGGAAACTGAGGAAGAGATTGGCCGAAGCCATCAGAACAGCTGTGAAGTGGTGTGGTGTTGTGAAGGTTTGCAGGACCAGAGATGACGGCCGGGAAGACCAGAGCCATTCCAGTCCATGCGTGCTGAATTGTGATTCCAAGATCAAACGAGATCTTTTCAATCGGAGTGTGCCTTCGGTATCCCAAAGAATGGGGTGCCGGGTGTGCCGAGACCGGTGTGCAGTCGATGTGGGTTGGGTACCAGGGACATGTTTTCAACTACCATGAATGGTAGCAGGACAGGGTGCCATGGGACCTCCTTTCGTCGAATGATTGACCGAGGCATGAGGATGTGTCAGGTGCCAAGGACATGCTTTGAGTATCTTGTAGAACAGAAAGTAGGGTGCCAAGGGCTTTGATGGATTTGCTGTGGTTGTCCATTATAATCGATCGCTTCGGTTTGCGTCGCCAATCTGTCCAGTGTTAAAGAAAACCAACGACACCAGCCAGTAACGGCATTAGTCAGTCAGTCAGTTTGGCGGTTGCAGTGAAGGTCGATTGTAACGGTTGATACACAGGGTCCGGCGGAATGCAAGCATAAGCAGAGAAAAGAGTTGTAGAAAGAGAAAAAAGGGCTGCAGAGCATACCCCCTACTCCATTCTCGCCATACTGAATCGCCGGCCGAAGTTTGTTGATGAAGACAGGGACGAACGCATACGAACGTCGTCAAGGTGAGATCCCAAGGCGCTATAGCGTGGTCTCGGATTGATAGGGTGAACGAGCAAACCTCTCGAGTTGACTTGACGAGGAAGATTTGCTTTTTCGAACAGTTGAGCTTGGCATGGCTCGGGGTGTAACGGGTCTATCCGTCGAAGAGTGAGAGCAGAGTCTCGGAATAGTGATGAAGTAGGAAAGGCGGGAAGGCGTTGGAAGACTTTGAGTAGGGTGAACCCGTGCACGGAGGTCGAGGGCTTGAAGGAAAGTCGTGCGTAGCCTGGGGAAAGCTGTTTAAGGTCATTGCTAAGGACCATGAGACATTCAGATCGTTGTGGGTTGTCTAGCGAATGGATCTAGCAAGAGGTTAGCAAATCGTCGTTTGAGGAAAGACAGGCCATGGTTGAAGGATTAGAGATGGTTTGGAAAAAAACGTCGCATCCTCTTGAACCCAAGCAGCTGAAAGCATTTGGAAACCGATGTACAAAAATCATGACGAGGACAGGGAAACAGGAAAGAGAAGATTTGTGCTGGCAGGAATGGGGGCGTTGACGTACCTGAAGGTGTGTGTAGGTAGGCAGACTGGCGATCCTCGCATCAGACCTGGCGGAAAACAGCAGGAGCAAAGGCAGGAGGACAGTGTCGTCGTTGTTTGATTGAGTAGGAAGTTGGCAATTCGCCCCAAGTACGGCCTCATGCCTCTTGGGGGTGTGGATTGAAAAGAAGAAAAGGAAAGATCTGGGTTTCCACAGTTCGCACCCCTTGCCCGGCTTTCGCCCTGCAGTGGTGGTTTTGGACGTGTCGCGGTACCGGAGTACGAGGAGCACACCGGAAGGCAGGCCCGGCAGTTGACGGCAACGCCCTGGACGGCAAGCGTCCCCGACCTACTTCGTCGGAGGGGTTTTGGTGAGATGATTTCGCGGGCACATGGGCCAGACGATCGTGAGTTAATTGAGAAGGCGCACAGGATGGAAATCGCAAAGAAGAAGTGAGCGGAAAGAGGGAAAAGAGAGTAATAGGATTGCTCCCCCTTCCTGCCGAAGGCAAGAAGGGGTAGCGCCGTGGTTGTGCGATTGTGACTCTTGTGATGTGGTGTTGTGGTGAAAGTGAAGGGAAGAAGGTTGAGTTGGGTGAAGGATGGGGAGGAAGAAAAGAAGGTGAGGTGGGAGGGAGGAGGAGGAGGAGGAGGAGGAGGAGGAGGAGGAGGAGGAGGAGGAGGAGGAGGAGGAGGAGGAGGAGGTAGTAGGTGTGGGCGAGCTGAGAGGAAAACAAAGTCGACGACCGCCTCAGGCGGTGAGATTCAAGCGAGGCGGTCGCGCCCAGGTGAAAATTCTTTCTGATGAGTTTGGGGAAAGAGCTCGGTGGCCGAGGCAGGCAGCTGCCTCTTGGGAGAAAGGAGACACCGAGGGTGGATGAGGGAGACACGTCACCGAGGTGAGGCAAGCTGCTCATCGACCCGGCTAGACGAGATATGCAACACCCTGTGAGCCGAACTTGCCAGACGAGAAGAGGCCATCTGATTTTCCTATGCACTTGGTGACTTCGATGGGGATGATTGCGACAACGACGATAATAATACCTTGATATCGACTCTATGTGAACTTGCAGGGAAAACAGTCTCCCTAGCAAGGAAACTTAGGCAGCCTCAACGAGAAGACTGATCGTTCTGCGCTGAGTGAAGTTTGATCAAGAAAGCCACTCACTGTCTTACCTCGAATATTTCGAACATCCAAAGCTTTCCGCCCCGGATACTTCAGACTTCCGTCGTCACCCACAGGATCAAGCGAAGGGGGTTTAGCAAACGAATGGTTGGATTTATATACGATGTATCAGCATGAAAACCATGCCAACAGAGGGGAAAAGCTGTTCAATATGTACAAGAAAGGTTTGTTCTCAGAAAGGGAGAAATGCTCTCAAAGGATCCCCCTTTTATCCCAGCCAATGCAGTCTTTATTTCTCCCAAGTCTTTGTCGTCACTCATTCCCATCTCACAGCGTCAGAGGAAGCAACGGAAAGCTCTTCGCCTCTGGAATCGCTTACAAGCACTGGGAGTACCAGTCGTTGACCTTAGAGCAGGTGTAAGGCGAGACGCACGTGGTCGGGCCGGTCCAGCCCTGGCCGCCGCACTGCTCGTACTGCTTCGCGCCGGTGCCGGTGCCGGGGTTGGCGGTCGAAGAGGTGCGGGCGGTGCTGGTGGTGCTGGTCCTGATGGTGGCGGAGGTGGTGGTGCCGGGGTTGGTGGTGCCGGCGCTGTTGAAGGTGGAGCCGATGGGGCCGAACTTGATGTTGGAGAACTTGACGTTGCTGTCGGGGACGCTGGACTCGATGTCGGCGGGGACGCCGGAGGTGGTCGGGCAGGTTCCGCGGTCGGCGCCGGGCTGGCCGGCCTTGTTGACGGGGTAGGTGGAGTCGAGCCAGAGCATGTTAGCGTAGTGGTCGTCCCAGAGGGAGAGGACGAGGACCATGGGGGCGGCGACGGCCTTGGACATCTGGGCGAAGCCGCCGCGGAGGTTGAAGATGTCGGTGTCACCGAAGGCGGTCTTCTGGGCGGAGCAGAAGGCTGGGGTGAGGGAGTTGCCAGAGTTGCCGGAGATGGTCGACTGGGAGTTGGGGACGACCTTGCCGTTCTGGACGTAGAAGCGCTTGATCTCGGAAAGGACGCCGTCGGAGCCCTTGATGAACTGGGTGACGACGCTGAGCTTCTGAGTGGTATCAATGGTGTTGCCGGAGCCCGGGCCGTAGAAGGTCTTGTTGCCCTGGCGGTAGGAGTTAAAGTCGCAACCATCGGGATCACAGTCACCGGCGTAACGGTCAGAGGAGTAGGTTCCACCGCAGGCGTCGCCGACGCAAGAGTGGTAGGCGCTGTTCTGGCAGGGGTGAGGGGTGTAGGCAGTGGAGATCTTGTTAGCCTCTGTGAGAATATGTCAGTCAACTGTCAGATATAGAAGCTGGTTGAGAGTTTGCGTACCCCAGATATCCATCTCAGCGCAGCAGGCACCGAGGGAGCCGACACCACCGTTGGCGTCGTTGCTCGAGGGGTTCCAGCCATCGACGTTGGCCTGGCAGATGATTAGCGTCCAAATTGAACAAGGACTGCTCATCGTGTACTTACAACACCGTTGATGAACTTGACATCGCGAGGGCACTGCGAGTCGCAGTATCCGGTACCGTACTTGGCACCAGCCTTGTTGGTGGAGAACTTGGACAGACCACCATCGGCGTCCATGGAGACGAAGTACAGAGCACCGTTCAGACCGCAGCCGATGTTGGAGACATCGACATCGAAGGTGAACTCGTTGCCAAGGAGGGTGAACATCTGCAGTTGGTCAGTACACGGAAGCGTCTACTAACAGTTGAAGGCAACTCACCTGGTACTTGGTATCGCTCTCCATGAGATAGACACGGCTACCAATGTTCTTGCCGTAGGCGTGGGTGGTGACGAACTTGAGGTTCAGCTCGCTGCCGCTGGTGGTGATGCCGTAGGTGCCCGGGTAGTCGGCGCCGTCGACACAGCACTTGGTGGCGCAGTTGGCGCCCTGGCCGGCAGCACAGTAGGTGTTGTTCCAGGTGTTGCCCGTGTAGCAGTTGGTCGAGCCCTCGACTGTGTGAGCCCATCGCCAGTTGGAGTCGAGCACGACAGAGCCGGCGACGCTTGAGCAGGAGCCGCCAGTAGCGCAGGTCTGCCAGGTCAGCTTGGGGTGGACCTCTGCTTGAGAGGAGCAAGCCTGCTGGGCGCGGGCGGCGGCCACGAGGGCTGCGAGAGCGGCGAACTTGGTCTGCATCGTGAACGACGTGGTGTTGGAGCGGATGCTGGGCTGAGAAGAGGAAGAGAGTGTGATGGCTGGGATGAGGATGAAAGGAAAGAAACCGAACTCTCGTCGCGAGATGATGATCTTATATAGAGGTATTCTCCAGGAGAACTGATGATCTGTAAGTCGGTTGAAACGCGCATTTTCCACAGTAGCCTTCGAGCTTCCCGCTTTCCGAGCTAAGCTTACGGCTAGCTAGGGCGAGATCCGACAGTAAACGGCATCCGGGCCGTGAGACGATCTTGACCATGGCAATCCTGGCCTGGCGTAGTCAAGAGCCATTCAGACATACTTGACAGGCTGGAAAAGCTCATGAGATAGCGGGGCAAAATCGTTGACAATGTGCGAGGCGCGGGTCCGGACAGAAGCGTGAGCGAGATTGTCGGCTTGGCATCTTCCAGGAACACACCCAACCATGGATCAAGATGCTTCGTCGTCGAGCCAAGGTTTGGATGGCTAGCCAAATTGGGCAATATTGGAGAAGGCACATACCCATCGTCGAGTTGGAGAATGGGCGGCAAGATTGGGGTACCCGCCCACGCGGGTTCTAATTGTCTAGGATCCCGATTCAAACGAGGTAAACGCACGATGTCACGTCCGGCCATGCGGCTGGTCACACCTCTCAGCAGACCAGCTGGCGCGACCGAGTCGAAAATCCATACTGAGGTTGCCCGATGTGGGACGCCTCCCGGCCGAGCTCATTGGAGCACTTATTTCCCCTGCGCCCAACACGGAGGGGTAGCCGCCGAGTACCACTGCCTCGAATCGTTCAGTCAGCCTACATCTGTGCAAAAAGGCGCAAGCCATCGTGAGAAATCAAGACGTCTCATTTCCCTGAGTTGGAAAAGTCGGCGCCACCTCGTGATCGTTTCGCTTCCCGAAGATCCCGTCACTCTCACCCCACCAGCAACCCTCACGATGTTCCCGAGTTCCTGCGTCGCCGCCGAAAGACACATCGCCAGACTCGTCGGCTTAACTCGGGATGTGCCTTTGTGCCCCCCTCTCGCCTGTGATACACCAGAGATACGCGAGTGATGCCTTTTGGAGTCGCTCCCCGCATTCGCGGCACCATTTTAGGGTCTTCTGCCCAACCTTCATGGCACATCATTGCGGGATGAGCTACTCCCTGCATAACGCCATTGGGCGCCCGGCATTGACTGCCATGCACCGCTTTGTTCCTTGCTTTCAAAAACGCCATCTTTGGTTTCTTGGTACGCTATTTCGTTTCCAGTCGCCGCCAGACCGTCTGATCAGACGGTGATAGATTTGAAGTCGTCAAGCTTCAGCGAGAGATGCAGTTGCGCTGCCAATACTCTCGGCCAACTTGGCTTCGACTTTAGGTTATTAATTGATCAACACTGTAATAAATGCATACCAAGTGGACGGGTTCAGAACCAGATGAACAGCAATTTGGAGAAAGATAAATGGGGTACCGATCCAATCTGGCGGCGGATGAAGACTCCCATAATGCATGTGTTAAGAGCAGGGCGGCTGGACCACCACCACACCATTTGATGGTCACATTGACCTCTGCATAACCGGCTTCGGTTAGTCTTCGGTACTGCGGGATTCTTTGGGAGGCTGCCACGGTGTAATCCTACGCAGCAATACCTCTGTCAAGCCCCTGGCCGTCTAGCATGCGACCTTTACGCGACAAGCCCGCTCTCGGACAACATCTTCTCCACGTCGCAACTTGCCAAGGGCCGTTCTATTTAGCCGTGATAACCAAGAAAGCTGAAGCCTCTGGGCGGCGAGGATCAAGAAGCTTGAGCTCAGCCTCTCACCATGGCAGGGTCCAGATCACGACCAGATATGGTGGTGATCGGCAGAAATGTCAACGACGCCGCATTCAGTACCGAAACCATAGATCATCCTTCCTCGCCACGCGTTTGTCAAGATCTCTTCTGGTCGTTATCATGCTTGGGCTTGTGATTGATGGTGGGCAAATCGTGCTCGGATGAGACATTCCTGTGGAGCGTGCGTATCCGAATATCCTCTTGCAAACTAGATCTGGAAGATCCTCATAGCCGAACATCAGGTGGCTGTGTGGAGAGCCCTTTCCAGGCAAGCGATCATCGGCTTGGGCCGTCCGGGTTTTGTCATTTCGCAGATTCCGCATAGGTTTTGCGTCAGGGTGGACGGAAGATGAGCCGTGCCCACGTAGTTGCTATGATGTTCTGACGGTTGCCAGTTCCGACGACGTGCAGTCCAAAGCCGGTGGCGTCGATGTGCGGAGGACTCCACGGGGAAGAGAGGCTGACGATGTGGAGAGCCTCAGGTGAAGTTGATTGACAGCTCCGGGGAGAATGCCGACTAGCTATTCGGAATTAAGGGAACGCGAGCCGTCAGTGCTTCGATAGTGCGTTGTTCTTGTGCTCTGGCATCGTGAGGTTGCATGCATTTGGTGTATTACTCTCGATCTCGGGCCCGTCTCCCTTGACGCGTGTTGTGCCAGGCACGAACAGCTCGCTAACAAAGGGTGGCCGCCACACGTCTGCGACTTCATATTGAAGCCAGGAACGTGAAACCTTGCCCCCGCCGGCAGCAGCCGGCCGTGGTGATAGGCGAGTGTCGCGACGAAGCCGTAAATGAGCGGGATACGACAGAGGGCACCCATCGCTGACAACGCGTGTGGTTGGCAATATCGACGTGGCGCTTAAGCGAGGAATGACGGAGTCCATACCGCGTCACCCAGAGGGCATTTTGACTGGGCGAAAGTCTTATCGTGAGCAGTAGACTGGACCGAACTGAAGCTGCGGACAGCAAAGCGCCGCAAATAGCGGGACGGGACCGGTTTGGACAGCAACGAGAAGCGCCAAAGTTGATCTTCGTCTGCTTCGAAATACCAGCCGAAATTGGCATCTGTCGCCTCGGGCGATGCTCAAGCTGCGGGTTTGGGCAGAATGGGCCGACGGACGGGCTCAGCCATAGTTATCGGCTGGATGACCGTCAGCTTCCAGATGTCCTCAACGCCTGAGCGTACACCCACCACAGTCAACAACATGGAGTCACTTGACTCTGCGCATGTTCTCCTCCTGAATCTCACGGCATCGCCGCAGAAGCGAGAAGCGGGCCCCCACCACCCGGCCCAGATCTTGACGGTGAAGAATGCGTAGCCAGGCTGCACCCAGGCGTCAGTGCCTCTCAGGTACCGCCCGAAAGCTCCAGCCGTCACGGGCAGAGGGGTCGGCGGTCTGCCCAAACACCCGGGAAAAGTCGTGCTGGTGGATTCGTTGCTGGTGACATTCCCCTAAAGGAAAAGCGCGCGTTCGCATTGCGGAGGTTGAAGTCGAGGCTCCGTGGTTTTCACGTCCCGATTTGGCTTCCTCTCGCCACGACGTCGCATTGGCGGCTGTAACCAGAGAAGCTAACGTTAGTAAGTGCGAGCCGCGGATTGCTGGTGATCAAAAGGCGGAAATAACGTCGCAAAAGTGGCACTGTTCCGTGGAAGAAAATCGAGCTTCACATGTCGACCGGTCCGACGATGTTGTTCGTGTGAAGTTGGGAGTGGTGAGGAGGGGACAGTGCTCGTCGCTGCTAGGTGGATACAGTGCGCTTTTCCAATGGACCCGATATTACAGCGTAACACGCACTGTACACACCTCCTTTACCACACCATTCGATGCTCGAGAACGAACTGGACCAAAAGCGATAGTCGCAATAACTATATGGTGAATCTTGATCTGATGCTGAGTTTTCGAGAGCTCGCCAAAGTGTGTAATGGTTTGAACACCTAATCTACACTATCATATCTGCCAGGAGGCAGTGTCTCGATATGTATTACTCCAAAAGCAGTGGAATATCTCGCAACCCTGCTCGCAGCCGGACTCCTTGACTGCCTGTTGGCCAGAGGCCCAAATACCCCTGAAACGCCTGCCAGAACCGTCCTCCTCGCCTCTTATACACACAAAACATTGGCCCACAGCCCGAAATCCTGAAGAATCGGAGGTCATCTGCCGGGAACTCCGTATTTTCCCATTCGACTCGAAGCCCACCTCAAAGTAACCGATCTGTTTATTATGCTGTTCTAATGACAGTAAGGTGCATGTTCTTGGTTTGGCGAGGCAACTTTCCGTCGCGCTCAAAGAGCAGGCCACAGTTTTGGCACAATGACTGTTCAAAGTTAGCGAGGGCACATCAGATGGAGTAAAATAATTGAGAGACTTACCCTTGGTCCATTGGGCCCAGGTCTTACCGCCCAAACACTGGAGCCCCAGAGAGCGCAGTGAGCGCATCTCCAAGACAACCGCTCCTGATCCGACAAACCGCTTCCAGCACCATAACCGGATCCAACGTCGGGAGTGCCTCGTCCGCCTGGCGTGCCCGACCGGCCGACGGGGCTTAGACTGCGGAATCGCCTTTTCTTCTTGGATCGCTCGCCTCTGCCCATACGCTCTTCCTCTACAGCCTCGACCACATTGCCGAAACCAGAGAATGGCACGCCACCGACCAAGCCAGTCGTTGAGCTGAAACGGGCAGTTTCACGGCGGAGTCGCCTGATTTGTCTTTCTCTATCGCCTTCGCGCTTCTCGATCTCCTCCTTGCTGAGGAACTCGACCTTGGGCTCCCAAGGATCACCCAGATTCTCGGGGTCATAACGCCATCCGGCATCTGCTCCAGCCGTAGCATCGTTGGGGAATTCGCGGAGACCATTCCATCCCATGACAAGGCCGCCGGCCTCACAGGCCTCCTTCTTCAGTCGGAGAACTGCTTCATAGATGGCATGTGTGACAGCGGGAACCCACTCGCCAGTCAAGCCGAGATCTTCGCAGGTCTGGGCAGCGAAAGCTTCTGGCATGCCAGGAGGATGCAGCAAAGACCACTCAAACTTGTCAGTGTAGAGGGTCGACTGAAGATTGATATTTAGGGTTACGATGCATCGGTAGGCGTCATCATGGTCGTACTCATCGGAGCCAACGGGAATGGGAGTGGCGTGTGCGGTAACGTCTGGAGCTGAGGTCGCTTCTTTGGCCCTGGCTGGTGTGCCCAAGCCGCCATTCTGCATAGGGGTATCGGAGCGGCTGACGGCGCCAGTAGCAGGAGTGGGGGACTCTTCGTGGTTGGCTACAGAGCTTGCTTTTGTCGCGTCGTTGTTTCCGGGGTTTTGCGACTGCGCATGGAACAGCGGGTGCAATGCGACGCCTGCGTACTCTTCGAGCTGCGTGCGAATCTGCTTGGCGATTTCGAGCATCGTGTTGTGGCGGTTCGGCAAATCCAGGTCCTGCACGTAGGTCTGCGCGAACTGCTCAGTCGTGATGACAGTTTCGTGCAGGTTCCAGAGGAAGTTATCGCGTAGTCGGTAGGGCGGCGTCATTTCCTGCGTACGGTATTGAGGCAGGCTGGTGTCGACGGTGTGAGGCGCTGAGGGAAATGGCACTTGGGGGACGAACGCCGGAATGTCCAGCTCGATGCGAATAGGAATCAGCGTAAGGGGCAAGTCGGCCTGCGCTGAGTTTTGTTGGTCGCTTCGCACCTGGCGTCCCTTGCCAAACCAGTCTCTCCAGATGCCTTGTACGTCGACCGGCTCGTTTGTATCCTTGCCAGCCTTATCAGACAGATCCAGCCTGTTGGCAGTGTCCTCTCTTCTCAAACTGCGCAAGCCAGTCGGGCGGCGACGGCTATCATCATCGTCATCGTCGATGTCGTCGTATCCATCTTCGGCGTAGTTGATGATGGTGGTTCCGCGCTTTGTCGTTCGCGAGAGGGGTGCAGAGGGTCCCGCGGCTTGCAGGACAGGTGTCAAGAGAGAGTTGTTGTAGCTTCGAATACGTGGCGCATACGTAGACAGGAACGCCTGGGGCTTTGATCGGACGTCCATGTTGTGATGCTAGTAGACCCAATGGATCATCGCAAGCTGTCGCAGGGCGGTGGTGTTGGAAGGACACGTCAAGGGCGGCGGGACGATGCTGAACGAGAGTCAATGCGCATGCGCGATTTCGATCGTGGTTCGCTGTGTCGTTGGCGACAATGCTCGATTGGACGGGGCTGACGATGCTTGCACGCCGCGGGTGCTAGTCGTGGAGGTGAGCGCCGACTGTGGGATGTGGACCGCGTTGGAAATGCACTTGGGGAGCAGCAAGGCGCGTCAGAAAAATCAAGTCGGCACTTCCCGACCGACGTTGAGCTCCCAAAGCGGCTTAGCTCAAAGCTTACTCACCGACCTCACCGGCTCCTCTTTGGCTGACTGGCATCCACCGAAATCTACACCGAAGTAACTACCACGCTCGCCTCGGAAACCAGGAAAGAATTCCCTAAAAAGCCAAACAATAGTTCAGATGACTTCAAGTTGAAATATAAGTTCTTCTAGATGTCTCTCATTTGAGAGACGGAGGCCATCAGCCGTGGTGGCTAACTCCGACGTAAGTTTGGGTTAATTCCAGCAGAGACACCACTATCACCACAATCGTGATTTATCCAATCAAATGTCAGTCGCTGTTCAATGCCTTCTACACACCTTAACATCTCACCTTCTCATATGGAGACCTTCAAGTCTCATCCTAAGGGCTAAGCCGGCAGGACCCTGACTGTGTGCCTGTATACGCAGCACTGTGGTGTACCGTGTCACAAGGGGGTGAGAGCGATGTGGATGCAGGGGCAAGTACATCAGCCAGTGCTAAGAAGTTAAGAATCGACTTTGGACGTTCATTTGATTTCTACTGAGTGCCAATTGGGAGATATTCTCCAAGAGCTGGAAAGAGTCAGTCATACCTTGGTGGCGTAGCGATTTGGACATCTTGAGAATGTCCTGTATTGGACGAGGAGAGTATCTGCATTTTCAAAAATGCTCCGGTGTCATCAACTGTGCGATCATACATGACCTCAAATCATATCTACTGCAGAAGCTGAGCTCCCTGTACTACCTTGGGTTTCTTTGTTATGGCTTATCACGTTCATAGAAAAGTGTGTTTGTTCAGGCTGCTTAGAACCAACAAGCAGCACCCTACCCCCCTCCCCCTAAATGCTGAAAGCAGACAAATTGCTTCAGAGAGGCTTATGATTTCATGGATATCTGGATTCGGCCGCCTTCGAATCATTTTAGCTCCAAGAAGCTCAGTCCTCGGGAGCGGGGTAGCTTCCTATCCCTGGCAGACAAACAGCAGTTCTTCAGACATGGCAACTTCCTTTGAAGCAGGAACGACCAGTGAGATGGAAAGCACGTCCCCAATGAGTGAGGTCAGCGTGAGATCTCTGCAGAAGCTGTGACTGAAGTCTTGACGCTAAGCTTCTTGGGGGTGGAGATGTGGATTCTCTGGGGATGTTCCTGCGCTTGTTCTTCCTGTCTGCAAGTCCTCTCTTGCTCAAATGGCCTCATTTCAAGTGGTGCTTGTTGCTAACAGCAGGAAGAGCGATCTGCACTCCTTCCTGTGTTTACCTATGCCACCATCTTAACCCTCCTTCTTTAGGCTATATAATCCCCTTCTCTCTCCCACCAACCTCACAACTTCTTCTCCATCGCACCCACCACTCAAGTCTTTTACCAGGTCCTTCAGTCTTTCACCTTCCACTTTCACTTCAATCTTCCATCTTTCTTTGACAAATCCACTCTTTCCCCAAGCCCACTCAATAACACCATCAAGATGTTCCCCAAGTCTATCATCACTGCCAGCGCTATCGGCCTTGCCACTCTCGGCATGATCCAGGCTGCACCTCTGAGCACCGACGAGTTCCAGAGCCTCGCTCTCATCAACCAAGCCCGCCAGAAGGTCGGCCAGGCTCCTCTTGCCTGGGATGATGCCCTCAAGCAGGATGCCCACGTCTGGTCCGGGAACCTTGCCGCTGACGACAAGCTTGAGCACGCGCCTGCCTCTGGCCGCAACGGCGCTGGTGAGCTTCTCAGTATGTTCCGCACTGAGGACCGCACCTCTGTCCAGATGACTCGCCCCATCACTGAATCCTCCAAGAACTGGCTCAACGCCGATGGCCAGCAGCAGTCTACTGATGTTGCCAAGCAGCTTGGTCTTGCCGGTACGTTCCTTCAGCATCCACGCCCCTTCCTTTGCTAATTTCTTTCCTATACAGAGCAGCTTCTCTCGGGTAAGGCCACCCGCATCGGATGTGCCACCTCCACTGTCAACGGCAACTCGGAGTCACAGTGGTTCCTCTACACTGTCTGCCGCGTTCACGCTGACATCCAGCCGTACGTATCTTTTCCTTTGTCTTCTTCACTGGCTTGTTCTGACCTTGGTGTTTGCAGTGCTGAGAACAACTCCCTTGACCGCCGTGGTAGTGGTTCTGGTGTCATGACCTGGTTCAACCCTTCGCTGGGCTCCTGTGGTAGAATCAACGGAGACAACGACATGGTCGTCGCCATCTCCCACATCACCATGGATGATGCTGGAGGCAACCCCAACAACAACCCCAACTGTGGCAAGACGATCACCATCTCCCGCGGCGGCATCACTAAGACTGCTACCATCGTCGACAAGTGTATGGGATGTGGTGTTGACCACATTGACGTCAGCCCTGCCGTCTTCAGAGCCTTTGCCGACCTTGGCGCTGGCAAGATTGGCGATGTTTAGTGGAGCTTCTAAGCTGCTTCAGCTGGAAATCTGAATTCTCTTCTCAAGTCACATGGGTCAGAGTTTGGGAGACACTCTGCATGGGATCTGGTCATTCATCATTTGCTATCTGGGGTGGAAAACCTGACATGGTGATTGGTACTGCCCTGAGGGGTAGAATATTTTGCGACTACACAGTCTAGATACCTTTTTGCAATTGCACATTTCATCACATTTTCCGCTTGCCTATCCGAGTTGTGACACCAACCTTATCTAAAACATTTCTGCTTGCGGCAGCCTTTGTCTAAAAGAATCTGCAGTCGTGAGATTGCGGGGTGGTGATGCTGCATCATGTCGTAGCTCAGCATCTGCATGTGTAACTTACCCTTCTTTATTCCTGCAATCAACGTTTGAAAGTCTTCTCAAGCTCGTCAGCTGCATCTCTGGGGAGTTTGGGAAGAGCAACCACGTTCCGCTCGATCCACGCCAAATTCGGCTCATCACCAACCCACCGATTCTTCGGATGCCACTTTTCGACCAGTGTCGCGAGGGACTTGTTCTTCTCGGGTATCTCCCTCCAGTAGGAGTACGTATGTCCCATGCCAACAATTTCCAGGAAGCACTTGAGTCGCTCTCTGCTGTTTCTGCGCTCTTTCAGGAGTCTGGTCATGATCTTGAAGAACTCAGCAGGCTCTGCCTCCACCGCCGTACGTACAACAGCGACCGCCAGCCGGGCCCAATGAACGATCAAAACCGGATCAAGGGTCCCCTCGAGCGCTCTAAACTCGATGGTGCCCACGAGAACCGGCTCCCATGGGCCATACGGAAAAGCACTGCCACTAATGCAGTTGATCTTGTCAAATGAGATGCTACCGCGCGGGGGCAAAGTGCAATTTGCAGCAGCCAGCAGGCCGGTCAGCCTATTATGGTCATTCGCGCTCCAAATACACGTAAACTCATCCTGCAGACGGCTCGTGAGACCGCGCATGGGGAGATGCGAATCAATCTCAACCGCCAACATCTTATCGTCCCCGCCAATTAACAAGTCCTCGTAGCTGCGCAGGCTCGTGCTCTCCGCAAGGTTGGACCCCGTACGGAGCGGCGCGGCATGGTGCACCGCGCCGCGGACGGGGTGCACCAGCGTGCTGAGGATGGGATCCACAACCCAGGCGAGGCAAGCCAGTTTCTTGAGCGCGGTGAGGGTGAAGGGGCGGACGGAGCCGACGTGGACGTGTGTGCCGCAGGTGCCGTCCAGCATCGGCCGCGTCTCGGCGCGGAGGATGGCGAGCACGTCGAGGATCTGGCGGCAGTCGGACGCGCGGTCGCGGAAGATGGGCGAGGAAATCTCGAAGCCGGAGACGCCGCCGGAGTAGCCCAGGATCGGGCCGAGGTGCTTCGTCAGGCTGGAGTCCTGGGAGACGTGCCAGAGCTGGTACATGTGGGAGGCACCGGGGACGATGTCGACGGTGCGGCCGCGGACGGCGGAGACGGTGGCGAGGTGGGATGCGTAGTGGGCGTGGGGTGGTTCGTCCCTGCGTTGTTTGACAGTGTTGTAGGTTGCGCTGAAGTGGCCTTTGCTGTTGAGGAGGGCGGCGAGGTGTTCGCTGGTGTGCTCGTAAATTGTAGAGGAGATGAAGGCTGGTCCGATGTCGGAGGGAAGGACGTAGGTCCAACGCTTTTCGTGGCGGTCGGGGACTTCGAGGGCGTAGGGGAGGAGGAACTCGAGCTCGACGCCGAAGGTGTAAGGGGAGAGCCAGGAATGCTCTTCGAGGTCGATGGTGGGACAGGGTTGGCGGGCAGCGAGGTCTGGAGGGAAGCGGCGCGGGTTGAGGTTGCGGTAGTATTCGGCTTGCGGGGACAGGTCGATATCTGTGAGGAGTTCAAGTACGTCATACGTGTTGAGTGTGCCTTGAACGGGCGAGTTCAAGGAGAGGATGTGTTCTATGCGGTCGCGAGGGGCATTGATGGCGAAGGAGACGAGGCCGTGACATACCTTGATCCAGTTAGAGATGGCGGCGAAGTCCATCGTGCCGGCGTGCTGCGAGAACTGGATTCTCTGGTCTCCGCGTTTGGATTTGAGGAGGCCGGAAAAGTCGTACGCGCCAGGATGATTGTAGACCTGGCCGTCTTCGTGTTGTATGGTGATATCGGCCATGCTGACAAGGCTTTGGATGTCTTCCGCGGTTGCGACTTCGAGGAGGGCGTACTTGGAGAAGGAAGAGTTGCGCATCACGTCAGGGGTCTGGAACATTTTGGTGGTCGTCTTGATGGGAGGTCCATGAGTGAAGATTGTCTCTTCTCTGGGAGCGCGCCACTCGGCGTCGGATAGGCAAGTATGAGGGAGGCAGTTGAAGACTTCTGAGAACTCGAGGCCTGGGGCGATGAGTGAGCCAGGACCGCAGTACTTTGCGTGGAGGGTGTCGATCAGAGGGGAGACAGACCACAGAAAAGTGAGGAGCTTCTTGAGGTCTGGCAGGGTAAAGCCGGACGGTGGCTTGAGGCTGACACGCAGACGAGGTGTATGGTCTAGCCCAATGGTGAGGTCGGGCATGTCCTTCAAAGCGACCGCGATGGCATCGAACCGCTTGATGTTTTCCTCAGAGAACCACATTAGAGGAGATTGGACACGCACGAGCATCCAGTCCTTGTTGTATCTTTCCCACTCTTTGTCATTCTCCTCAGGCAGGCGTTGTTTGGTTTGCACCACGACGTCCCAGTGGCCGCTCGCGTCGTAGGTGTGCAAACCATCAAGGATCTCTTGGTTATGCTTTTCCCGTAGTGCCCTCGTCTTTTCGTCTGCGGACCATGGTACGGAGAAGAAGCCCGCTTCTTCTCGGAGGTATCTACAAATGCGATACTGGAGGTGGAGCGATTCCAACCATTCATCCCGGTCATGAACGCTTTTGACAAAGTTTCTGGGTGGACGAGTGAGTGCTTTGCCTTGCTCGGCAGAGACCTGGACCCAGAACTCCAGCTCGGCGCTGAAGAGGACCTCGCGGTCAGGTCCTGGCTGTTGGTCTCTGCTGATCGTGTCCCAGACCGTAGCCAAGACGGGAGGCTCCGTGGGGTCTGATGATTCAGGAATCACGTATTTACGACCTGCGTCTACCATGATCATATCCCGAGCATCCTTGTCCATGCCATTGAGATCATGCTCATAAATCTTATCGTCGGTGTTGATAGGAGAGATGTCGGCGAGAACGGGAGATGTCAAGGGGCTCATCCCGGGGATCTCAAGGGGGAAAGCAGAAGGGTTTGTGAAGCGTGAGCCTTGGGGCGGGTTATTCGCGGGGCCGGACATGTTGGCTGTGTCTGTGTCTGAGTCTGAGTATATGGAGGAAGATGTGTGTTCTGAAAGTGCGAGGGTGGATGTGCTGGTATCGTGTCGATTGGGGCTGTAGTCTGACATTTTCATCCCTTTTGGCGTGGAAGTGCGCTTAAATAAGAAATAGAAACTGGGATGAATTATTTTGATGTTCTGGTTCTCTTGTTCTGAGTCTGGGTCTTGTGCGCTTTCGTGTGATCTTATACAAGCCCATTGTCCTCCCAGAAAGAGTGAACGATGCCAATGAAAGGTCTTCAAAGCGGGAGTCAAATACAAAGCAACCAAACAAGTACATGGCCTTGAGGTCTGAGCAACACTCGGCCATCGGGTCTGAGACGTAGACAATGGGAAAGTTTACCTTTGAGTTGACCGCAGAACCATTGTGTCAGAGAGAATACGATGAAAGTTAAGTCATAAGTGAGCTGAACTCATGTGATTACTGATTCTCGGTTCTGATGTCAGGTTGATTGTGTACTGGCAAATTGAATTTTATAATGAGACCGCCGAGTTTTCCTGTGTCTGCGCCGCTATATTTCCTATGTACTTAGCTACTCCTGTGGGATAATAGCGACGACGAGGAGGACGACGAGGACGACGATAGAAACGAGGACGACGATAGAAACGACGAGGACGATAGAAACGACGACGACGATAGAAGCAATAGTGACAGAAGTAACAACGGTAAAGTAGAGTATGGCCACAGAAAAAGTAGTCGGTATAGCACACGAAAAATAGGCGGACTCTTCATATTTGACGTCTCTTACTGCCCTGTAACGAACATTCATGCCTGTAGAGAATATTACCGTCAAAAATCCAAGGAAGGAAAGGTCGATGTCCAGAACAAATAGCAACAACAAAAAAACACACGATCCAGGTTGAAAGGTCTCGAGCAATAAGTGCAACAAATTAGCAAAATTTCAAAAGAGATAGCACGACCTGGTTTCGATCCAGGGACCTCTGGGTTATGAGCCCAGCGCTCTACCCCTGAGCTACCGTGCTTGATGAAAACTTTGTCCAAATCTGTGTACTATGTACCCCACAAAGGTGGGGGGTCAGTAATCACTCATCAACGACCCCCACGCAACGCCCAATGCCTCGTAACACGGGCGTATGATGCGAGCAATACTTGTGAAAATGATTATGGCATATCTTCAGATTCGCAGCAATTCCATATCGCGCATACAAGCGTAAATATCGTGTCACATCTATCAAAATGCAGCCTTCAACTCCAAACAAACGCTCAATATGCCTCCCCACGCAGAACATTATATACGCAAACAGATGGATCATCGCCAGTATCATACAGCAACATGATTTCGCTGCCGCAAGCTCTGCGTCCTCATAAACGAAATCTGGCCCCTCCTCGCCGTCGTCTCCCTCGGGGACCGCAGCTCGTCCTTATCCTGGCTCAGACTCGGCGACAGGTCCAGACTACCGTACGGATCCGCCGTCGGTGCAGGCCTCTCGTCCCGCCTCACGGACAGGTAGAAGAAGTCCCACCAGAAGGAGTGCTCCAGCTCGCGCGGCTTGCCGTCGGCAGTCCAGTAGCGCTCCTCGCTCAGCTCGCGCGACAGGTGCCGGCGGAAGTAGCGGTCCTGGCTCACCCACCAAGCGCGCCAGGCGAAGAGGATGATGGCCGTCAGCGGGATGACAGTGGCCCAGTAGACCCAGAAGAGGTGGCTGAGAACGGGGATCG